CTTAATGGTTTTTGCGACTGCACTTATTTGAGCTGTTCTTGCCATAATATGGACATGGTCTTTTACCAAATAGGGCTATCTTCTGTATATCCCCCCTACCTTGTCACAACACAACTGATTGGCTCAAACGCATTAAGAAGGAAAGAAATCCGACACAAATTAACTTTTAAGAAGGCACACCTGTTCATTGAAATGCATTCCAGGAGACTACCTCCTGAAGCTGGTTGAGAGAATGCCAAGAGCGTGCAAAGCTGTCATCAAGGCAAAGGGTGGATATTTGAAGAATCTCAAGTGTAACATATATTTTGATTTGTTTAACACTTCTTTGGTTACTACATGATTCCATATGTGTTATTTCATGGTTTTGATGTCTTCACTATTATTCTACAATGTAATAAATTGTAAAAATAAAGAAAAACCCTTGAATGAGTAGATGTGTCCAAACTTTTGACTGGTAGTGTAAGTCAAAACTGTAACTCGGCCACTCAGGAACATTCACTATCTTCTTGGTAAGCAAGTCCAGTGTGGATTTGGCCTTGTGTTTTAGGTTATTGGCCTGCTGAAAGGTGAATTAATCTCCCAGTGTCTGGTGGAAAGCAGACTGAACCAGGTTTTCCTCTAGGATTTTGCCTGTGCTTAGCTCCATTCCGTTTCTTTTTTATCCTGATAAACTCCCCAATCCTTAACGTTTAAAGGCATACCCATAAAATGATGAAGCCACCAATATACTTTAAAATATGATGAGTGGTACTCAGTAATGTGTTGTATTGGATTTGCCCCAAACATAACACTTTGTATTCAGGACAAAAAGTTCATTGCTTTGCCAATTTTTTTTCAGTATTACTTTAGTGCCTTGTTGCAAACAGGATCCATGTTTTGGAATATGTTTTATTCTGTACAGGCTTCCTTCTTTTCCCTCTGATAATTAGGTTAGTATTGTGGAGTAACTACAATGTTGTTGATGCATCCTCAGTTTTCTCCTATCACAGCCATTAAACTGTGTAACTGTTTAAAAGTCACCATTTGCATCAATAACTTCACCATGCTCAAAGGGATATTTTTGACAATCTACCAATAGGTGCCCTTCTTGCGAGGCATTGGAAAACCTCTCTGGTCTTTGTGGTTGAATCCGTCTTTGAAATTCACTGCTCGACTGAGGGACCTTACAGATAATTGTGTGGGGTACAGAGATGAGGTAGTCATGAAAAAAATAATGTTAAACAATATTATTGCACACAGAGTGAGTCCAATGTAACTTATTATGTGACTTGTTAAGCACATGTTTACTACTGAACGTATTTAGGCTTTCCACAGCTTTTCATTTTTTACTAATTTGAAACATATAATTCCACTTTGACATTACGGCGTATTGTGTGTAGGCCAGTGAGAAAGAATCTCTATTTAATCCATTTTAAATTCAGGCTGTAACACAAACAAATGTGGAAAAAGTCAAGGGGTGTGAACACTTTCTGAAGGCACTGTATGTTAACACTGGTATGGTGCTGGAGATAATGAATATGAGGTTGAAAAGTGGAAAAAAATTTTTCCTTTAAATGTAACAACAAAACATTATTTATTAAAATCTATCTATTAATATGGGTTTTGAACTCTATAAATTGTTTACAAGCATGATAGCTGTACTTTTAGATTATGGTTGACTCAGCTTGTTGGCCATTAGCCAATCGGCATTTCTCAACGAGTTCAAAGCACATGCATGTACCCAACTGGTATTTATGACTTCACAACTGGGAAATGCACACCTGCCACTTGGTTACGAACGCAGCATGACTATTGCCTTATTGTGTCAGGTGATGAAGCAGAAGGCAGGCAGGTGTGCCAGGTCTGTCAGAGTGCATACTGGGATTCCTCACTCCACAGAGCAAGGCTTTCATCTAGGGAAAAGAGCTTGACTGGTGTATTTTAATATTGTATTTTTATTTACCTTTTCCACAAACAATATAGCGGATGATTGAATAGATAAAATACCCACTAGTACCATACCTGCGGGTATGTGTCGGTACAAACTTAGAAAAAAAGTTAGTATCTAGAACATAAAAGGTTCTTCAGCTGTCTCCATAGGAGAACCCTTTGATTAACCCTTTTTGGTTCCTGTTAGAACCCTACATGGAACCAAAAAGGGTTCTACCTGGAACCAAAAATTGTTATCTCATGGGGACAGCCGAAGAATCCTTTTGGAGTATTCACCTTGGATTCTCCAGACTATCCCTTGGGGGCCTTCAAAGGTCCACTTCTCTGTATACAGAATCAGAGCTCACAGGATGAAGCCAAAGACTGTTTGGCAGGTAGGAGAGAGAATGTTTCCTCCAGCGCTTCTATAGTGAAGACATTTGGACAGTGATGAGCCAGGCAGTAGTGGGATTCTTTCACTCAGTCTGCCTACCTTCTTCCCATCATAGGGATTGAAATTGAGTCTGAAATGGGTGATAGGTTTAGTGGGGAATCAATCTAATGGGAGATCAGTCTTATGATCTTATGATCTATGATCTCATAATGTTGATGTGGACTCTAGCGGATTTCTAGGATTAGTCATCATTAGCCCCGCTTTTTGTCATTGTACAGACAGAACCTTTCATGTAACTGTGCACTATGTCTCTTTTTGTCATCCTGTTTTTCTTTCTCTCCCAATCTCACTCCAAAATAATAGATCCCAGCAGACTACACTGAGTGTACAAAACATTAAGAACACCTTCCTAATATTGAGTTGTACCTCCACCCCTTTTGCCCTCAGAAAAGCCTCAAGTCATCGGGGCATGGACTATACAAGGTGTCGAAAGCATTCCACAGGGATGCTGGCCCATGTTGACTCCAATGCTTCCCAAGGTTGAGTCAAGTTGGCTGGATGTACTTTGGGTGGTGGACCATTCTTGATATACACGGGAAACTGTTGAGTGTGAAAAACCCAGCAGCGTTGCAGTTCTTGACACAAACCAGTGTGCCTGGCACCTACTACCATACCCCATTCAACGGCACTTACTGTAAATATTTTGTCTTACCCATTCATCCTCTGAATGGCACACATACACAATCCATGTCTCAATTGTCTCAAGGCTTAAAAATCCTTCTTTAACCTGTCTCCTCCCCTTCATCTACACTGATTAAAGTGGATTTAACAAGTGACATCAATGAGGGATCATAGCTTTCACCTAGATTCACCTGGTCAGTCTATGTCATGTTTCGTGCACTCAGTGTATATGCTACTGCTGCTTCAATGGACTCACCCCTGATACTGGTGGCAGTGTTTTGATGTGAGCTCCTATAGATGCCAAGCTCACCTACACTGGGGAGTGTGTGCGTGTGCGTGTTTGCGTGTGTGTGCGTGTGTGCATGTGTGTGTGCGTGCATGTGTGTGTGCGTTAGAGACAGTGCGTGCGTGTGTGTGCATGCGCGCCCATGTGTACGTGCGCGCCTGTGTGTGTGTGTCACTGTGTGTGTGTGTGTATGTGTAGGTATGGGTCATTCGTGATTTACATTTACATTTACGTCATTTAGCAGACGCTCTTATCCAGAGCGACTTACAAATAGGTGCATTCACCTTATAGCCAGTGGGATCACCACTTTACAATGTTTTTATTTTTTTATTTTTTTATTTCATTTTTCTTTTAATTTTGTTTATTATTAAAACATGTATTTATTTATTTTTATAGTGATGACCCAGTTTCATAATGAAGGGCTCTGTCACAAACATGTATTTTTCTTCCCAGGGCTGGAGTGAAGCCTGCCTGTCATATACATTCCTGGAAGGGTTTCATCAATACTTTGCTCACGGAATCCTGTAAACTAATTTGACATGGTCAGGTAGAACAAGTCTCCGGTGTTATGAGTGAATGTGAATTATGTGCGCCTGTCTTGCCAATTTTTTAAAAAGTCACTCTTAAAGTCATTCTTATTTAAAGAGTGTCCTATATGCAGTTGAGTTCATCTGGATTCATGACGTGTCTTTTCATTGTTAGAATATGGCTGACGTGTCAGTCTGAGAGTTGGGTAGGGAATTTAATTACAACAAGCTAAAGCACACTCAAAAAGTCACTTACTAGAGGCTTTTAGAGCTAGTTAAGATCCCTTTAAACTCATAAATAGTCCCGTTTTCTCAGATAGTATCAAACGCTACTGACGTTACAAGTCACTGTCTGTCTGTATGCATTCATCAAGTTTTATGTGAACTTCTGAAACTGTGACAGTGTTGTAAAGTCTACAAATTGAATTTAAATTCAACACAGTAACGAATGCTCTCTGGACTCATGAGTAAAAGCCTTTAACCTTGCTTGAACAGATAATTAACTCTAGTGACTGAGAATGAGTGGCTGTTGACTGTGAGCACAGTTAGGGCACATACATGCCTGCTAGCGTATGGAGATGAATGTAATGTATCTGCCTACCACACTTGTCCTAATCTGCTTTCCATCAATGTTCCTTACATCACTAACTAAGTTCCTGGGCTTAATCCATTTGCGAGCATATTTAGATTCCAGATGTTAATGCCCAAACGGACAGTACTACCACGGGAGAAGGTGCATGAATGTGTTCTTCAGTGTTCTTCTCCCTCAATCCCTGGTGAAATAAATAATCTCCCTTCACCGCTACATGCCTTTAAGGAGAACAATCAGTGGAACTGCATATGGAAGCTGATCTGAGCTCAGGAGATGAGCGGAGTCAAGCGTGTAGAGGTAGAAGAGGGAGTTGAAGATTGCTGATGATGGAATGTTTCAAGTATTCTGACCCAGTTGGGATCAAAGTAAACCAATTACGAAAATGAGTTTTGTTCTTTTCTCCCTTTTCATTCCAAGTTGTTTGGAGGCCTTTTAATCTAGTGCTTCTCTTACCACAGTTTAAGTTATTCAGGAGGTATTGTTGAGCTCAACTGGCAGAGCACAGAGGTAGGATAGTCAGGCTGAATAGCAGGAACCGTTTGGTATCCACTGAGGATGAATGCACTGAGGGGAAAGACACTCAATTATTTCATTTGTTCTTTCTCCGTTCTTTTCTTCTCCTCAGGATGTTAGAGAACTCGCTGCTCAGCGCTGAAGTGAAGGAGGGAGAGATTCTGCCTCCCACCATTCAGAAACTGATGAAAGGATACAACAAGTACCTCAGGCCTTTCTTTGACAGTAAGGGAAATTGCACACATCCCTGGAAAATGAGATGAGGCTCAAGTGAGATGTGTGTGTGTGTGTGTGTGTGTGTGTGTGTGTGTGTGTGTGTGCATGCGTGTGTTTTTTTGTCTGTGTGATTGTGTGGCTTACCATATTCCCATATTCATTTCAATATTACCATATTTTGGCTATGCATAAATCTCCCTGAGCTTTTACCTGGCAGATGGAAGCAATCTCATTCCACATGCATAACACAGTATGTGCATGACGAACATTCACTGAAACTAAATACATGATGCCAACACATTAACACAGCTGGTGATTTTAGTCATAGGGTTAGGCTATTAATATCAAGAGTAAGCAGCTGACAAAGTATGTTATTTGTCTGAGCAGACACAATTCCCATGCATACTTAGTGTGACTTCCTAAACTGGATGCCATAGAAGTGCAATATTTTCATGCATAGGCCTACTCAGTGTGACTTCCTAATATGGATACCGTACTAACAGTGTAACCTCGAGACAGTGATATAAAGTATTGTAGCCTTTGATCCTCTGCACAGTGTTTGTACTTCTCACAAATCCCTTGTCATTTTCATTGTTTCTGCCTCAGAGAATCCCTCTAAATGTGTCTACTGTTTGATCAGTGATCGCTGAGACTGAACCGAATCAGAGCAAATGTACAGTGGGGAAAAAAAGTATTTAGTCAGCCACCAATTGTGCAAGTTCTCCCACTTAAAAAGATGAGAGAGGCCTGTAATTTTCATCATAGGTACACGCCAACTATGACAGACAAATTGAGATTTTTTTTTCTCCAGAAAATCACATTGTAGGATTTTTTATGAATTTATTTGCAAATTATGGTGGAAAATAAGTATTTGGTCACCTACAAACAAGCAAGATTTCTGGCTCTCACAGACCTGTAACTTCTTCTTTAAGAGGCTCCTCTGTCCTCCACTCGTTACCTGTATTAATGGCACCTGTTTGAACTTGTTATCAGTATTAAAGACACCTGTCCACAACCTCAAACAGTCACACTCCAAACTCCACTATGGCCAAGACCAAAGAGCTGTCAAAGGACACCAGAAACAAAATTGTAGACCTGCACCAGGCTGGGAAGACTGAATCTGCAATAGGTAAGCAGCTTGGTTTGAAGAAATCAACTGTGGGAGCAATTATTAGGAAATGGAAGACATACAAGACCACTGATAATCTCCCTCGATCTGGGGCTCCCCGCAAGATCTCACCCTGTGGGGTCAAAATGATCACAAGAACGGTGAGCAAAAATCCTAGAACCACACGGGGGGACCTAGTGAATGACCTGCAGAGAGCTGGGACCAAAGTAACAAAGCCTACCATCAGTAACACACTACACCGCCAGGGACTCAAATCCTGCAGTGCCAGACGTGTCCCCCTGCTTAAGCCAGTACATGTCCAGGCCCGTCTGAAGTTTGCTAGAGTGCATTTGGATGATCCATTTACATTTACATTTACATTTTAGTCATTTAGCAGACGCTCTTATCCAGAGCGACTTACATGAGCAATTAGGGTTAAGTGCCTTGCGCAGAGGGCACATTACGTCATTTAGCAACGCTCTTATCCAGAGCGCCTCACAAATTGGTTCATTCACCCATAAGCCAGTGGGATAACCACTTTACAATTTTTTTTGGGGGGGTAGAATGATTACTTTAGCCTATCCAAGAGGATTGAGAATGTCATATGTCAGATGAAACCAAAATAGAACTTTTGGTAAAAACTCAACTTGTCGTGTTTGGAGGACAAAGAATGTTGAGTAGCATCCAAAGAACACCATACCTACTGTGAAGCATGGGGGTGGAAACATCATGCTTTGGGGCTGTTTTTCTGCAAAGGGACCAGGACGACTGATCCGTGTAAAGGAAAGAATGAATGGGGCCATGTATCGTGAGATTTTGAGTGAAAAACCTCCTTCCACAGCAAGGGCATTGAAGATGAAACGTGGCTAGGGTCTTTCAGCATGACAATGATCCCAAACACACCGCCCGGGCAACGAAGGAGTGGCTTCGTAAGAAGCATTTCAAGGTCCTGGAGTGGCCTAGCCAGTCTCCAGATCTCAACCCCATAGAAAATCTTTGGAGGGAGTTGAAAGTCCGTGTTGCCCAGCGACAGCCCCAAAACATCACTGCTCTAGAGGAGATCTGCTTGGAGGAATGGGCCAAAATATCAGCAACAGTGTGTGAAAACCTTGTGAAGAGTTACAGAAAACGTTTGACCTGTGTCATTGCCAACAAAGGGTATATAACAAAGTATTGAGAAACTTTTGTTATTGACCAAATACTTATTTTCCACCATAATTTGCAAATAAATTCATTAAAAATCCTACAATGTGATTTTCTGGATTTTTTTTTCTCATTTTGTCTGTCATAGTTGACGTGTACCTATGATGAAAATTACAGGCCTCTCTCATCTTTTTAAGTGGGAGAACTTGCACAATTGGTTGGCTGACTAAATACATTTTTTCCCCCACTGTAATTAACAGAGATGAGTGCACTCCTGATTGCCACCTGATTGCCATGAACCCCACACAAGAGGGCAGCTTCCTGGAAAGGATGGAAATGCACACACATAAATACAAACACACATACAGTTGAAGTCGGAAGTTTACATACACCTTAGCCAAATACATTTAAACTCAGTTTTTCACAATTCCTGACATTTAATCCTAGTAAAAATTCCCTGTCTTAGGTCAGTTAGGATCACCACTTTATTTTAAGAATGTGAAATGTCAGAATAATAGTAGAGAGATGTCACGGTTTCGGCCGAGGCTGCTCCTCCTCCTTGCTCGGGCAGGCTTCGGCGGTCGTCGTCCCCGGAGTACTAGCTACCACCGTTGTATGTTATCAATGTGTGTTTGGTTTTGTCTTTATTGTACACCTGTTTCCGTTTGGGTTAATTATGTCCCCTATAAGTTTCTCGTATTGTTAGTCGTGTGTTGTGTGTTATTGTTCGCCTGTCATTTGGTGCTGCTCGTATTTTCGTATGTTGTTTATTCTGGTCCGTCGCACTGTTTGTTTCGTGTGCCTAGGATTTGTGTTTTTACGCACTGCTGCGTATCGTTCGCCTCCAGTTTTGTTGTTAAATTTTTGTGCAGTAAAGTCGGTTGACTTAGCTTCTGTGTCCTGCGTGTGACTCCTCCATCACATCCACATCAGCCGGTTCTGACAAGAGAATGATTTATTTCAGCTTTGATTTCTTTCATCACATTCCCAGTGGGTCAGAAGTTTACATACACTCAATTAGTATTTGGTAGCTTTGCCTTTAAATTGTTTAACTTAGGTCAAACGTTTTGGGTAGCCTTACACAAGCTTCCCACAATAAGTTGGGTGAATGTTGGCCCATTCCTCATGACAGAGCTGGTGTAACTGAGTCAGGTTTGTAGGCCTCCTTGCTCGCACACACTTTTTCAGTTCTGCCCACAAATTGTCTATAGGATTGAGGTCAGGGCTTTGTGATGGCCACTCCAATACCTTGACTTTGTTGTCCTTAAGCCATTTTGCCACAACTTTGGAGGTATGCTTGGGGTCTTTGTCCATTTGGAAGACCCATTTGCGACCAAGCTTTAACTTCCTGACTGATGTCTTGAGATTTTGCTTCAATATATCCACATCATTTTCTTCCTCATGATGCCATCTATTTTGTGAAGTGCACCAGTCCCTCCTGCAGCAAAGCACCCCCACAGCATGATGCTGCCACCCCCTTTGCTTCATGGTTGGGATGGTGTTCTTCGGCTTGCAAGCTTCCCCTTTTTCCTCCAAACATAACGATGGTCATTATGGCCAAACAGTTATATTTTTGTTTCATCAGACCAGAGGACATTTCTCCAAAAAGTACGATCTTTGTCCTCATGTGCAGTTGCAAACCGTAGTCAGGCTTTTTTATGGCAGTTTTCGAGCAGTGGCTTCTTCCTTGCTGAGCGGCCTTTCAGGTTACGTCGATATAGGACTCATTTTACTGTGGATATAGATACTTTTGTACCTGTTTCCTCCAGGATCTTCACAAGGTCCTTTGTTGTTGTTCTGGGATTGATTTGCACTTTTCGCACCAAAGTACGTTCATCTCTAGGAGACAGAACGCGTCTCCTTCCTGAGCGGTATGACGGCTGCATGGTCCCATGGTGTTTATACTTGCGTACTATTGTTTGTACAGAAGAACGTGGTACCTTCAGGCGTTTGGAAATTGCTCCCAATGATGAACCAGACTTGTGGAGGTCTACAATTTTCTTTCTGAGGTCTTGGCTGATTTCTTTTTATTTTCCCATAATGTCAAGCAAAGAGGCACTGAGGTTGAAGGTAGGCCTTGAAATACATCCACAGGTACACCTCCAATTGACTCAAATTATGTCAATTACCCTATCAGAAGCTTCTAAAGCATGACATCATTTTCTGGAAATTTCCAAGCTGTTTAAAGGCACAGTCAACTTAGTGTATGTAAACTTCTGACCCACCGGAATTTTGATACAGTGAATTATAAGTGAAATAATCTGTCTGTAAACAATTGTTGGAAAAATCACTTGTGTCATGCACAAAGTAGATGTCCTAACCGACTTGCCAAAACTATAGTTTGTTAACAAGAAATTTGTGGAGTGGTTGAAAAACGAGTTTTAATGACTCCAACCTAAGTGTATGTAAACCTCCGACTTAAACTGTACACACTCTCTCTCTCTTTCTCTCTCTCTACAGAGTCCTCAGTGTAGGTGAGCTTGGTATGCAAACACATGTATTTGTTTATTTGGATTCCAATTAGCTGTTACAATTGCAACCGCTTCTCTTCCAGCAGTCCAGACGGACCCATGCATGCATACATACATACATACAGAGTTACACATGCACAAAGGTTAGGTGACCTTGTTTTCAGCAAGCAAAAGCAGAAATACTAGAACGTTATTCAAGAATGAGACTGGGTAAGTGAAAGAAAGAGAGGGAACGAGAGAGAGGAAAGAGGATATGTATGGGGCTGCATGCAACATTCTTGCTGTTGCCACTGATAGCGTATTCAGCAATACGTTTCCCAAACATGTTCTTTCGTGTCTTGAGGCATTTTGGATAACACCACTGTGATTTAACTGCTTTATGATTCCACATGGTGCTCTGAATCCTCGCGTTCATCTCTCTTTCAGTTTCCCTTGGTTCTTTTTTCTCTCTTTCTCTCTTTCTGTCCCTCCCTCTCTCAATATTGAATACAATTCAATATACTTTATTGACACGGAAAGTAAAGCAAGTACTCTCTCTCTCTCGCTCTCTCTCTCGCTTTGGTCTGTTTTCCCTCTCTCCCTCCTTCCCCTCTCACCCTTTCTCTGTGTGTCTATCTCTCATCTCTTTAGATGGGCCAGTGACTGTGGGCATGAGTTTGGATATTGCCAGCATTGACACCATATCAGAGATCAACATGGTGAGACAACTTCCTGTGTCATATGACACATTGTACATTGCAATATGTTTATCATGTTATGTAATAGAGCCTAATCAGTGTTTAGACTTGAAGCTGTAATGTAATTGCAGTACAACCGCACTCTTTAGGACTACACGGCCACTATATTCCTGCGTCAGCGCTGGACAGACGAGCGCCTGGTGTTTGAGGGGAACAAGAGCCTGAGTCTGGACGGCAGGCTGGTGGAGCTGCTATGGGTACCAGACACTTTCATCGTAGACTCCAAAAAGTCCTTCCTCCATGACATCACTGTGGAGAACAGGCTGATCAGGATCTTCCCCAATGGAACGGTGCTCTACGCCCTGAGGTGGGAGAAACACACACACACACACATGCACGCACAAATGCATGCAAGTGTGCGCACAGGGATGAAACACACACACACACAGATATACACACACACACACACACACACACACACATACATACAGGGATCCAACAATACAAAGGCCTTGAACTATTGGAATTAGATAATTCCCTTTTTCATTTATTAGATTTTTATTTTTAACCAAGCAGGTCAATTAAGAACAAAATCTTATTTACAATGACGGCCCAGCGGCCCTGCAGGATCACTAAATCAAATATTGCACAGTGTGCTCAAGTATAACTTGGCTATTGGGTTATCTAAACCAGTGATTGAACAGAGCAATGGGCTTAGCTATTGGTGAACCAGTGGTACAATAAGCTGTGGCTTTCTGAAATATTTAACCTGGATGGGAATGGCACACACAGTATCCTGTTATAGCTTGACTGATTGATGAATGTCCTGCTTCTGTTTATTGGCTCACAATGAATCTTCTATAGCGGTTAAAGGGTGAAGTTGCTGTTTTTGGTGCTGATTTGTTTAGAACGGGTTGCGTTCAGTACGACAGAGCGGTGTGCAACGTTGAATTAAACGGAAACGGCACTGTACTGAACGACCAGTGGCCCAGAGGGCAGTTACAATACGCAGTTTTGCGATTTCAGATGGTCAAACCCATATTGATCAGGCCACACCTCACCACACCAACCAAGTGGGAGCAAATGTACCTCAAAGGAAATGTGTCGTTCAGTACAAACAGTCATGCAACAAGGCAAACGTTGAAGTGAACTGAACGCAGCCCAGGTGTGGTGGTGCTGAATGGACAGCATGTCTCTGCTTCTGCTTATTGGCCCACCTTGAATTCCCTATAGGGCTAATGGAGTATGTGGTGCTGACTTGTTTAGACTGGTATGGTGGTGCTGAACGGACAGCACCCCAAGGCTTCTGTTTATTGATTCACATCCTCCATCAATGATACACTGCATTGTTCTGTATCATGTGAGTGAGCACAAATGTGTATGGTTATTTGCATGCCAATCTAGCTTTACTTCTGCTTGTATTTGTACAGTGTGCATGGCATATGTGTGTGACTGCATGTGTGTGTGCAGTATTTTTGACTTGTGCGCCAGAGCTTTGTGCATGCATAAAGACATTCCATTTACAGCATGCATGTGCATATGATAGACCAGGGGTCGGCAACAGGAGGTCCGCGGGTCAAAACCAGGCCGAAAGTGATTTTTTGGGGGCCTAATTCAGGAAATCTGTTCCCAAGTATTCCCACAAATAAAAAAAGAGACATACAGTGGGGTTTGAAATTATTGACACCCTTGATAAAGATGAGCAAAAATGGCTGTATAAAATTAATATTTCAAATACTAAGCTATATTGTATGTGCCAAGAAATTATATTATTTTATACAAAAACAATTGCTCAGATAAATATATTTTGATTAACAAATAAATAAATACATTCTCAAAATGGTAGGGGTCAAAATTATTGACACCCCTTTTTTTAATACCTCACCTTGCACTGAGCCTTTTTCTAAAATGTTTTATGCATTGGAGAACACATTGGGAGGGCTCTTAGACCATTCCTCCACACAGAATCCTTCCAGATCCTTCACCTGCGCTTATGGACTGGCCTCTTCAATTCAAACCACAGATTTTCAATGGGTTTCAAGTCCGGAGACTGAGATGGCCATAGCAAAATGTTGATTTTGTGGCCAATTAACCATTTCTTTGAGGATTTTGATTTGTGCTTGGGGTTATTGTCTTGCTGGAAGATTAACTTGCAGCCAAGTTTCAGCATCCTTGCAGAGGCAACCATGTTTTTGGCTAAAATGTCCTGGTACTGGATAAAGTTCATGATGCTGTTGACCTTAACAAGGGCCCCAGGACCAGTGGAAGCAAAATAGCCCCAGAACATCAAAGATCCACCACCATATTTTAGCAAGTAGGTATGGGGTTATTTTCTGCTCATGCATTGTATGTTTGATGCGCAAACCATGGTGTGCATGACCAAGAGCAACTAACTTTCATGTCATCTGACCAAATCACCAGTTCCGCAATCCATGTCCCAAGCCATTGAGGTGCGACTCCAGTGTTTACATTTTGTTTGGCCAATGCCATTGAGCGAACTCCAGGTGTTTACATTTGTTGGATGACATGAAAATAGAGCTCTTTGGCCACACACACCAGTGGTGGGCTTGGCGTCGAAATGAACCCCATTGAAAACCTGTGGTTTGAATTGAAGAGGGCAGTCCAGAAGCACAGAACAAGCATATCAAGGATCTGGAAGGAATGGTCTACCACCCCTCCCAATGTGTTCTTCAACTCATAAAACATTTTAGAAAAAGGCTCCGTGCTGTTATCCTTGCAAGGTGAGGAATTGAAATGTATTGAAAACAGGGTGTCAATAATTTTGACTCCTACCCATTGGAAGAAAAAAACAACATTTATTATTATTATTTCTCTGAACAATTGTATTAGTATAAATAATATAATTTCCCCATTTCTTTAAGCATACAATATATGAAGCTCAGTATGTAGCCAAGTCTAGGTCCAAAAGGCTCCTTAACAGCTTCTACCCCCAAGCCATAAGACTGCTGAACAATTAATAAAATGGCCACCCAGACTATTTTACACTGCTGTTACTCGCTGTTTATTATCTATGCATAGTCACTTTACCCCTACCTACATGTACAAATTACCTCAACTAACCTGTACCCCCGCACATTGACCGGTACCCCCTGTATATAGACTCGTTAAATTATTGGTATTTTGAAATACAATCTCTTTTTGGGCTTAGTTGTGGTCAATTTGCAGGCCCCCCGACCCTCCGCTCCGACAAAAATCTGCCCACGGCTGAATCTAGTTGCCTACCCCTGGTAGACTCATTAAGGTATTTTCCATATGTGGGTCTGTCAGAAAGGACCTGTGTGCATAAGTGGAAGTGCCAGGGAAGACAGAGGGCATGATCAGAAGGGCAGGAGGAAGGCAAGGAAGGGGTGATAGAGAGTGCAAGAGGGTGCCATAGGGAAAGGAATGAAATTAGATATCAGAAAACGAGGGTTAGGATTGAGGAGAGGCCAGGGAGAGAAACAGCAGTAGTAGTGCTTTCAGAGGGAGGCCAGAGGGAATACATGGCAAAACACTGAGGTGGTTCTGCGAGGGGGAAAGAAACATTTGAGGAACTGTTGACTAGCGTTTTTCTCTCATCTCACCAGGATCACCACCACTGTGGCCTGCAACATGGACCTGACCAAATACCCCATGGACAAGCAGACCTGCACTCTGCAACTAGAGAGCTGTAAGATGTCACTTCAGATTAACTTCTATAGCTAAGCAGCAACATGTGGCTGTCTAATAATAATAATAATAATATTAATTTATTCAATTTCTAAAGCGCTTTTCATTACAGAAAGAATCTCAAAGCGCTTGAAAAAGCAAAACAAAAAATAATAAAATAAACAGCTATATGACAGAGTAGGTCTGGACTGCGATTTTCAGCCAAGAGTTGAACGTTTTGAATGTTTGAAGCCTCCATCAGATGGAGCAACAGTCAAGAGGGAACCACATGGCTTGAGCAGAGGTCAACGGGGGGAGATAAGCAGCACAATTCACTCTCCATTCAAGGCGTCTCACCGGCGTCTCACCGGCGCCTCGCCGTCCCCGCCATCTGACTGCGACTTCTCTGTAGCCGTTGACTCTCTCTGGTCTTTTAAAACGAGATTACGTTTTTGAGCTCTCCACACACTCAGGATTATGGTGAAAGCCAGCTTACTTTCTCACTTTAGAGGAAATCTCCTGAGCAATGAAATCATCACTGCCAGCAAGGAGACTGTAGAAACAACCAAAAATAGGCTGGTGTATTAGAATCTAATCAAAACACACTAGCTAGCTAGCAATGCTACCAAGCAAGCTTGCGAGCTAGTGTGTTTTCATTCGGTTCGAATACACCAGGCAATTTTTTGTTGCTTCTATTTTAAGAAAGCTGATTTGCCATGAATTCACGGGCAGGAAACAAATAGACTTAGACTTGAAACAAAAAAACACTTGAAAGTGAATAAATAGGAACAAAATGTACAGAGCTCTCTGCCTAAGCTGCTACTAGGGCGCCTTGGCAATTGTACATTTACATTTTAGTCATTTAGCAGACGCGCTTATCCAGAGCTACTTACAGTTAAGTGAGTGCATACATTATTTTTCATACTGGCCCCCCGTGGGAATCGAACCCACAACCCTGGCGTTGCAAACGCCATGCTCTACCAACTGAGCTACATCCCTGCCGGCCATTCCCTCCCCTACCCTGGACGACGCTGGGCCAATTGTGCGCCGCCCCATGGGCAACAACTGCTCCTTTCCTGTAGAACTAAGGAAAGGAGCTGTTGGGCTTGATTAGGTTTTATGGTTTTGTTAAAAACAGAGAGGGAGAGGTAGAGATATATATATATATATATACAGTTGAATTCGGAAGTTTATGTACACTTAGGTTGGAGTTATTAAAACTAAATTTTCAACCAACTCCACAAATAGTTTTGGCAAGTCGGTTAGGACATCTACTTTGTGCATGACACTAGTGATTTTTCCAACAATTGTTTACAGACAGATTATTTCACTTATAATTCACTGTATCACAATTCCAGTGGGTCAGAAGTTTACATACACTAAGTTGACTGTGCCTTTAAACAGCTTGGAAAATTCCAGAAAATGATGTCATGGCTTTAGACATTTCTGATAGGCTAATTGACATCATTTGAATCAATTGGAGGTGTACCTGTGGATGTATTTCAAGACCTACCTTCAAACTCAGTGCCTCTTTGCTTGACATCATGGGAAAATCAAAAGAAATCAGCCAAGACCTCAGAAAGAAAGTCTGGTTCATCCTTGGGAGCAATTTGCAAACGCCTGAAGGTACCACGTTCATCTGTACAAACAATAGTACGCAAGTATAAAGACCATGGGACCACGCAGCCGTCATACCGCTCAGGAAGGAGACTCGTTCTGTCTCCTAGAGATTAACGTACTTTGGTGCGAAAAGTGCAAATCAATCCCAGAACAACAGCAAAGGACCTTGTGAAGATGCTGGAAGAAACAGGTACAAAAGTATCTATATCCACAATCAAACGAGTCCTATATCGACATAACCTGAAAGACTGCTCAGCAAGGAAGAAGCCAATGCTTCAAAACCGCCATAAAAAAGCCTGACTACGGTTTGCAACTGCACATGGGGACAAAGATCATGCTTTTTGGAGAAATGTCCTCTGGTCTGTTGAAACAAAAATAGAACTGTCTGGCCATAATGACCATCGTTATGTTTGGAGGACAAAGGTGGTTGCTTGCAAGCCGAAGAACACCATCCCAACCGTGAAGCACGGGGGTGGCAGCATCATGCTGTGGGGGTGCTTTGCTGCAGGAGGGACTGGTGCACTTCACAAAATAGATGGCATCATGAGGAAGGAAACGTATGTGGATATATTGAAGCAACATCTCAAGACATCAGTCAGGAAGTTAAAGCTTGGTCGCAAATTGGTCTTCCAAATGGACAATGACCCCAAGCATACTTCCAAAGTTGTGGCAAAATGGCTTAAGGACAACAAAGTCAAGGTATTGGAGTGGCCATCACAAAGTCCTGACCTCAATCCTATAGAAAATTTGTGGACAGAACTGAAAAAGCGTCTACAATCCTGACTCAGTTACACCAGCTATGTCAGGAGGAATTGGTCAAAATTCATCCAACTTATTGTGGGAAGCTTGTGGAAGGCTACTCGAAACGTTTGACCCAAGTTAAACAATTTAAAGGCAATGCTACCAAATAATAATTGAGTGTATGTAAACTTCTGACCCACTAGGAATGTGATGAAATAAATAAAAGCTGAAATAAATCATTATCTCTACTATTATTCTGACATTTCACATTCTTAAAATAAAGTGGTGATTCTAACTGACCTAAGACAGGGAATTTTTATAGGATTAAATGTCAGGAATTGTGAAAAACTAAGTTGAAATGTATTTGGCTAAGGTGTATGTAAACCTCAGACTTCAACTGTATATATATATATATGTAGAGAGAGAGAGAATGTGAGTGAACGTGTGTGAAAAAGAGAGAAAGCAAGCAGGGGTGTGTACATGTGTAGGTGTACTTTCCCCATTTATTTGATTATATATAAGGCAAAACTGGGTCATACCCAAAGCTGCCTGTAACTCATGGAAACAGGGACGGTGTCTGGCACCGTCGGCCCAGCCTCTTATCCTTGGCTTGCCCCAAAAACCTCTTCACACTAGTCACCAGCCCTCGCCAGCCAATCACATATTGGGATCACGCCTGTCTTGTCTCTGCTACAGCCTCAGCTCGAGCTGTTACATAAGCTCAAAACCTGCAGGAGCCAAGCAAGGGAGGAAACGCAAAGGGTTTAGAGCAGAAGACTCTCTTTTGCCCTTCATTTCTCTCCTCCTCGCTCTTCTCGCTGTCGCTCTCTTTCTCTCTCTCTCTTCCTCCGTCTCTTTCTCTCCCACTCTATCTCTCCCTCCCTCGCTCGCCTCCACACTCTTTAATGACAGCAAGTCGTGCTAAGCTATAGCCACATCGCTGCCAAAGCAACACCTTGAATGTCATGTCAACAACAAACTTAACCAGAGGGAGCTCCTGTCCCACTTATCCCACTCAATACATGTAGAGCTAAGTCAAGGATTTTCCCCTTTACATTACTGCCAGGTTGAACGTATACTGTAAATCCCAGACTCCCACAGCCTTGCTTCAGCAGCACACTGAAAAGAGCCATACTGTGAGGTGTCATTCTTTTTAATGTGCTGCCAAAAATGTAACATTGCTTCCCCGCTCCTCCTCGCTCACCAGCCCACACTTTACTTCCAACAGGGAAGTTTAAAGACAAGACGAGCACCAGGTGTTTAGATAGATATGGCGGTGACATATTTTAGTGGCTACTGACAGTGAAAAGGCCTTGAGTTGGAAGACATTCACAGCCATGTTTGATTGTTGCTTAATGATGAGACCACACTCACCACAGCGGAGGATACTGTAGCGAGATTTGGTTTTGAAGATTTGAAAAGTCCCTCTGCAGCAGTTTTTAAGATGCACTCATCTCAGTGTCTCGGTGAGCAGGATATTTTAAGAGGCAAAAGCTTTCACCTCTCCAGGCTGCAGTGCAGTACATGTTTCAGGCTTCAGAGCACCTCAAGACCGCCCCTAATTTTCTAATGTAACCGTTCCCGCGCTACTGCACAGGTCCACGGCGCCGGCGCATGCTGCATACCCAATTTGCACATTGCCCTGAACCGGCAGTCACAAATATCATGAGTTCCGCAATCCGTCGGTAATAGGGCAAACATAACAACACTGAAGAAGTTACAACAAGAGATCCTCAGCGGCTTCAATGTCTGTTACTTTTCGGGGTGCTCTGCATTACATTAAACACACTTTCCTCAATAACTTATGACACCCTGGAATTTTACACATGTTGTGTCTCTTGGGAGACCGTGAGAGGGCAGAGTAAGAGCCATAAAATGTAATGTAATGAAGCAACAGCAAATGGGGATTCTGTGTGTCCCAGTTTAATGGAGATTTCTTCTCCTCTAGTCACAGCTGCCTCGTAGCGCTTCTTATTCTACGTCTCCCTCTGCAGGTCAATTACTAAACTACGTCTTATAAAGAATCTCTAAAGGCAAGGTTGACGTGTGGATAGAAAACTTGTATTTCGGAGCAGACCTCGGTTCAAATGCTAATTGCAATCTTTAAAATCCTTTGAGTGTTTGCGTTAGCCCGCCTGAAGTGCCAGGTGGGCGGGCTTTGCACTTTTGAGACTTTTCTATTGGTTCTATTTCAACAGGCAAGCTCAATCAAGCACAGCTTAAGTATTTGAAATTATTTAAAAAGTATTTGAACCCCAGGTCTGTTTCGGAGCTGTACCCACATTATCAGGAAGAAAAATAGTTGATCCTATATAGCTTGTGGCTTTATTCCTTATAAATGTAGGCCTATACAGTAAGCAGCTTGCTCTAAAACGTGACAGCAATAAATGCTATTGAAGGGAATTTAGTTGCCCCCCTAACCTTCTTTCAAGATTTCAGTATACAGTGAGTAAGCACTTTACAACAAATGTTTATGTACATTGTTATACAGTGTCACTGTGAGGTCTTCTAAATCACATGTAAGATGGTCTGTAGGATTATGTAAGGTCCTGACCTATATAGGACGTGAAATATGTATGAATCACCCACTGTCATGTTAGCATTTCCTATTCAGTCTTACTGTCACAGTGCTTCACAATGTGCAATGGAGCGCTGTTGCTGCACGCTACTTCTATTTAATAAAACATATTTAATAAAAAGTAGTTTGAATAAAACATTAACATTGTAAAGCTTGCTTGTGGCTGTCGCACACTTACAGCACAGTGGCCAGCTAACCTTTATTAATTGTTTTATGGATGATTGTTTGTGTTTCTATTAGATGTATAAGTAGTACACTGGTATGTGTGATAAAGTGCTATTTCAAAACATTTAGTCACTTAGTGTAATAGACCCCCATTAACTATCTCGCTGTCTTTGACTTGACATCATCTCTCTCTCTCTCTCTCTCTCTCTCTCTCTCTCTCTCTCTCTCTCTCTCTCTCTCTCTCTCTCTCTCTCTCTCTCTCTCTCTCTCTCTCTCTCTCTCTCCCTCTCTCTCTCCCTCTCTCTATACAGGGGGCTACAACATCAATGATGTAATGTTCTACTGGACCAGAGGGAATGAGTCGGTCAGTGGTTTGGACACGCTGCGTCTGGCTCAGTACACAGTAGAGGACCACTACACCTCTGCGTCTGAGGCCATCTATGAAACAGGTTCAACTTTCACGTCCTACCTCTAACATTATCCTTTCACATATACAGTATTGTTTGGCTACTGTTTAGTTTTAGTCTCTTGTGACGGATGAAGCACTAGCGTGCATGCCACATTTAGTTAGGGGTGCCTAAAATGATATTTAGCATAATCTAGCTATAAATGTTAGCCACGTTCATCTTTTTAATTCATAGTTGGTAGTAAATTGAAAACTTTAGGAACCCTTGGGTTCTACTAGCACACTTGTTCTCATGTCTCTCTGCTGTCATCTCGCTCTGTCTCTCTCTCACAGGCCACTACCCCAAGCTGATCTTCCACTTTGAGCTGAAGAGAAGCATCCTGTACTTCATCCTGGAGACGTACGTTCCCTCCAGCCTGCTGGTGGTCCTGTCCTGGGTCTCCTTCTGGATCAGCCAGTCTTCCGTCCCTGCAAGGATCTGTATCGGTAAACCACAGCTCCTCAAACCAGGAAGCACTCCCATCAAGCAGATACCTTTCACACTCTCTTCCATGCAAAGCTGCTGATCAGAAGCTTTTTGGTAGTCTGAAAACTTGAGTGGTTTGCTACAGCAGAAAAATAATTCTGCAGCAACAGGAAATGTGAATTATTATATGGATTATAATTAATGGACATTTTTGTAGGGTTTGATGCATTTTTCTTAAGGGACAATCAAGCCTGAAATTTCAAAGTGGAAAATACAAACTCCAGAAGCCTTTTTAAACCATGCAGGTCACTGGTGATACAAGTCAGTATTCAACGTCTATCCATGTCTGAGGACGTCGGGAGATGACGTGGAAACCGGCTGTTACCTTCAAGTAGGAAAGTTATCCTGCAAAATTAAGATCCTTCATCTGTAGAATGCAGGTGGTTAGAGAAAACAGACTGTTCCACAAGTGAATCATACTCCTGTTAGCTTACCTTTACATAACTGTAATATTACTTAAACATATAGCCTGATGTACACTGAAAAATATAGAATCGCAACATGTAAAGTGTTGGGCCCATGTTTCATGAGCTGAAATAAAAGATCACATAAATCTTCCATACGCAAAAAAACGTATTTCTCTCAAAGTTTTTGCACAAATTTGTTTACATCCCTCTTAATGAGCATTTCTCCTTTGCCAAGAGAATCCATCCACCTGACAGGTGTGGCATATCAAGAAGATGATTAAATGGCATGATAATTACACAGGTGCACCTTGTGCTTGGGGAAATAAAAGGCCACTCTAAAATTTGCAGTTTTGTCACACAACATAATGCCACAGATGTCTCAAGTTTTGAGGGAGCGTGCAATTAGCTTGCTGACTGCAGGAATGTCCACCAGAGCTGTTGCCAGAGAATTGAATGTTAATTTCTCTACCATAAGCCGCCTCCAACGTTGTTTTAGAGAATTTGGCAGTACGTCCAACCTCCCTCACAACCGCAGACCACCTGTAACCACGTCAGCCCAGGACCCACCACGCCAGCCCAGGACCCACGCATCTGGCTTCTTCACCTGCGGGATCGTCTGAGACCAGCCAGCCGGACAGCTGATGAAACTGTGGGTTTGCACAACCGAGAAATTTCTGCACAAACTGTTAGAAACCATCTCAGGGAAGCTCATCTACGTGCTCTTTGTGCTCCTCACCAGGGTCTTGACCTGACTGCAGTTCGGCATCGTAACCGACTTCAGTGGGCAAATGCTCACCTTCGATGGCCACTGGCACGCTAGAGAAGTGTGCTCTTCATGTTTCAACTGTACCGGGCAGATGGCAGACAGCGTGTATGGCATCGTGTGGGCGAGCGGTTTGCTGATGTCAACGTTGTGAACAGAGTGCCCCATAGTGGCGGTGGGGTTATGGTATGGGCAGGCATAAGCTACGGACAACGAACACAATTGCATTTTATCTATGGCAATTTGAATGCACAGAGATACCATGACGAGATCGTGTGGTCCATTGTCGTGCCATTCATTCGCCGCCATCACCTCATGTTTCAGCATGATAATGCACAGCCCCATGTTGCACTGAACTCTACACAATTCCTGGAAGCTGAAAATGTCCCACTTCTTCCATGGCCTGCATACTCACCAGACATGTCACCCATTGAGCATGTTTGGGATGCTCTGGATCAACGTGTACGACAGCATGTTCCAGTTCCCGCCAATATCCAACAAGTTCGCACAGCCATTGAAGAGGAGTGGGACAGTCCACAATCAACAGCCAAATCAACTCTATGCAAAGGAGATGTGTCGCGCTACATGAGGCAAATTATGGTCACATCAAATAAAGATGGGTTTTCTGATCCACGCCCCTACTTTTCTTTAAAGGTATCTATGACCAACAGATGCATATCTGTATTCCCAGTCATGTGAAATCCATAGATTAGGGCCTAATTTATTTATTTCAATTGACTGATTTCCTTACGAACTGTAATTCTGAAAAATCTTTGTTGCGTTTATATTTTTGTTCAGTGTATTAATGTCAGGTAACTCAACTCAAGCTGAATTCTACTGATTTCTACATGTGTGGAGTGACTACTGACGTAGTTCATCATTAAACCCTAGGGGTTGTGTTGTTGTATGTGAATTGAAAGGAAAGGAAAACTCCAGGACACTGGACATCTTGATGATTTCAAACATTTAATGAATCATCCAACCATTGTGTTGTGTATTGTGACAGGAGTGACCACGGTTCTGACGATGACCACGTTGATGATGGGTGCCAGGACGTCCCTGCCCAACGCCAACTGTTTCATCAAGGCCATCGACGTGTACTTGGGCATCTGCTTCAGCTTCATCTTCGGAGCCCTGATCGAGTATGCCGTGGCCCACTTCTGCACCCTTAACCACCCCAACGCCAACATTGTCATGGTGAGGCCTTCAGCGTTGTTAACGTCAGTGGTGCGGTTATTATTGTCATGTTCATTGCCATCATTTTCATAATCTTGATCATTGTCATCATCAGCATCATTATTATCGTCATCGTTGTCGTCATCCTCATCACCATCATTATCAGAATCATCATCTTCATCACCTTTGCCATGTTTCGTCTGCTCATACTGGATGGATGTAAGTATCTCCACAATTTTTTGGTTTATTTTAGATGATAGCATCAGTTGATTGGTGCATAATTAAGCGACTCTTCAATCCTCTTCTCACTGTGACTCTCTCTCTCTCCCTCCCCTCCTCCAGTACGGTCACCAGATGGGAGGCTTTGACGAGGAGATGAACGGCATGGTCACCACCATCGCTGCTGAAAACAACAGGGCCAAGAGGCGTAAGGAGAAAGCTGCTGCAGATGCTGCAGCCTTGGCGCCCACAGCAGAGCTGGAACTTTGCCCCTCCAGCCCCACTGGCAGTGAACCCAAGCCTGAGGCACCTGAGGAGCCCACCAACCGCTGCCTCATTGTCCTGGTCCTCCTCCGTAAGGTCCTGCGCAAAGCTGCAAACTGTTGCCATGTGGAGAATCCCCACTTAATAGACAACTACTCCAGGATGACCTTCCCCCTCTCCTTTGTATTTGTCAATCTCCTCTATTGGACATACTACCTGTACTTGTAATCACAGGGGTGTGGAACTGTGTTTGGGTATGTGTGTGTGTGGGTGTCTGAAGATGTGTGTTTCTGTCTGTGATTCATTCATGTGTTTTTTCTCAAACAATGCACATTTTACATTCATGAGTGAGGCATAGTCAACATCCTTAGGGGAATCAAATGTCCGTGACACATTTATTATACCTTATTTAGCTCATTACTGCTTTCATAATTGATTGATTTCCATGTTGTTCTTTTATTGGTCATAGACGACCTACAGATGTAGGATCTTAATTTGAGCCAGTTTTCTACAGCAGAAATATTATCCTGCAGCAACAGGAAATGTGAATTATTATATGGACTATAATTAATGACATTTTTGTGTAGGGTTGAAACATTTTCATTAAAGTATAAATTACAAACTTTAGAAGCCTTGAAATGCAGGAAAATTCTCAGCATCAATAGAGATCAAATTAAGATCCTAAATCTGTATGGCCGGCACAGAGCAGAGGAGTAAATGACTGGTTGTGCTGTGTAATGGTGTAATGTTTATGACTGAGTTTCTCACTGCGAAGGGAAACCTCCAGAGCGCCTCTGGGTTAGTCCGAATAGCCTTGGCCTCTCTCTATCTCTACCTCTACCTCTACCTCTACCTCTACCTCTACCTCTCTCTCTCTCTCTCTCTCTCTCTCTCTCTCTCTCTCTCTCTCTCTCTCTCTCTCTCTCATCCACTCTCTTTCTTTCTCACCCCCCCCCCCCCCCCTCTCTCTCGCTCCCATTTCCTCTCTCATTTTATTGCCATTATAAATCCCGTAGCCTTGGCTCTCTCCACCACATTATGGAAATTGACTCTCAAAGGCACCTATAAACCATTTTATATAATTTGTCATCATACGATTCTGTTTCTAGTATGTTTTACAAGGGACTGCCAGCACCTTAACTGTACAGGAATAATGCAATAGAACGGTGTGGATATACAGCACCTTGTGGACACACGAGTAACAGTGATATGTGCAGTATTTTTTCATTGGCGCTGGGCGATAGTATTTTGCGCTGTGCTTTGTGATACATGCCGTCTTAATCGTGAAGCTAGTACCGTGTATTAGATGTTTTAGGCCATTTTGAATAGAGGTGAAACCGCTACTGTATTTTAACAGGAGGTCATCATCAATCATCGGTTCATCATCCAAATAAGGGTTTAACTGAAATGCAAAGCTTCCTCCCTGCATCTTTTGCCAATGTCCTTGTCCTCTGTTGTGTGTGATGATGAATGGCATATATTTCCGATAATGATTTCACATATAAGTAATAACCAAAGGACCAAAGATTTCAATTTGATTTGTAATCCTTCATGGTTCCCTTTTGACTTTGTTGCGTACATTTTGAAACGATGAATTACTAGTTCACATTGCTGCGTGAAAAATCCTCCATCGAAAGTAATAGCATGCTATATCAGCATGCAAAAGGAACACCGCAACATTCCATAGTCCTGTGCAGACAGACACAGTCTCACATTCAATGCATGTTTGTTTATATCCTAAATATTAAGTGCATTTTTCTGTTACAATGCTTTCACCCATTTCCGTAAAGCCATTGACAAGCAGGTTGTCCAGAGCATAGAATAACAACATAATGATTTGTTCATGAATATGATATTGATCATAGTAATGCATTCTCTTAATTAATGTACACAATGAAAGTTTATATTTGCAATAATTCACCATAATGCAACATTAACTTACAAAACCATTTGTGTTTTCATATAGTTTTTTCTTCAAACATGGTCTTGTTCAGTGCAATATAATTAAAATATATATATCTTTGATAATGAGCTAACTACTGATGAAAATAGATTTAGTTTTTGTTTTGCATGACTACCAATGATAACTTTATTTTTCTTTCTGTTTCTTTGCTTGTTTTGGGTTTTCATTGTGTTGTTTGCTAGACTAGGGAAGAGAAGTATTGATTGTCATACAGTACAAACGGAGGCTACCTAAAAACCTAATATTATAGACAACTGCCCTTAATTATACTATCACTGGGGACCAAACTTAGGTGTTACTTATATTGAACTTACACTTATATTGAACTTACTACAGTTTCGATACGAAATTCTTCTCTACGGTGCTAGAGCAACTTTATAAGAACAGTTTGACCTTCTCTTAGAATCGGGTCTATGGTAAAGAAGAAAAAAATGCACTGAACTAATATATACGTAGATCGGTGCCAAATCATGAAGGTCAAGTTACAGTCTATATGGTCATTGTGTTTCGTGACCTGATATCCACTCAGCTACTGTCGCCAGTGCCAAAATGGAGTAAAATAATCCACTAAATCAAACCACTAAAGAAATATTCCCTTTGTTTCACGAGAATCTTACAAATTCCCATTCCCAATTTCCCTTTACTGTGGATTTGCATCAAATGTGTTTGCTATTCAATGATGTTGTCATGTGAGCCCCTCTTTTTGGACTCTAGACTCAATGTCTCCTCTCCCAAGACGTAACTACATCATCAGTGATCTGTTTTGCTGCACTGAATGGACACAGTATTGGATAAATAACCGCAATGGCTGGACACATGATAAACAGGACACAAGTCCAGGTACTGCAAGGCCAAGCAACCAACCCTCCATTACCCACTTGCCTCTGACAGACTGATTGGCCAACGTTGGAGAAACCTATTTTCCTAACATTTTCAAGGTGATGTTGTGTTATTGACATCAAAGTTCTTGGGACATCTTCCTGTATAATGTGTTTATACTGTAACATTTGAATATAAGCATTTTGTTTGCTGAAATTGTTGTAAATAGATAGTTACACTTTGCATGTTTATTTGATGTTTCAATATTGATTAATGTAATAAAATAAACTGCCTAAAATTGTGCAAGAGTTTTTCATCAAAATAGTTTGGGGAAGTACTGTCTTGGGAATTTACAGCTCAAGATAGCATGATAATGAGTTTTCTCCAGAAAGTCAACTTTCAGGAGCAGAGGAGGTTTTTTCTCTCAGTGTTCAGATGTCAAAGCTGTTTGGGGAGACTTCTCCCCTCTTCAGCTCTGAGAAAAGATGCAGTCCTCTCTAGGTTCCAGCCCTGTTTGGCTTTGACTCAGTAGGATCGTGAGCGTTTGGGAAATCTGAGACAGCTGTAAAAGTCATGTTAGACCACTTGAATACAAGGCAGGAGTCAACAAGAAAAATGTGCTGATTGTTTAGCTGTTTTTCAAAAATCGTCACTAAACTTTGAATACATTTAAAAAAAAGAAACACAACAGGAAAGATAACATGAAAAACTACTTGAGTTATTATTTGCATCAAATCAAATCAAGTTGTATTTGTCACATGCTTCGTAAACAACAGGTGTAGAATAACAGTGGATTGATTACTTACAGGTTATTTTCCAACAATGCAGAGTTAAAGATAAAGGTAAAATAAAATACAATTGAAATAGTGACACAGGGAATGAATACAAAGTGAATAACAATAGAATTAGGGTTAGGGTAGAATAACAATAAAGAGTAAAAATAACATGGCTATTTACAGGGATTACCAGTTCCAAGTGGATGTGCAGGGGTACGAGGTAATTGAGGTAGCTATGTGCATATAGTGTAAAGTGATTAAGCAACAGGATAGATAATAGACAGTAGCAGCAGCATATGTGGTGAGTGTAAAAGTGTGTTTGTGTGTGTGTGAGTGTGTGTGTGAGTGTGTGTGTGTGTGTGAGTGTGGCTTAAGTATGCATGTGTGCGTGTGATATCTGTGTGTGGGTGTATGTAGTGTGTGTGTGTGTGAATGTGTGTGTTGGGGTGTCAGTGTAAGTATGTGTGAGTGTGTGGGTACAGTCCAGTGTGTGCGCATAGAGTCAGTGCAAGAGAGTTAGTGGAAAAAAAGGGTAAATGCAGGTAGTCCGGGTAGCCATTTGATTAGCTATTTAGCAGTCTTGTTTAGCAGTCTTCTAGCTTGGGGGTAGAAGCTGTTCAGGGTCCTGTTCATTTCAGACTTGGGCCCCGATTCCGACCTGATTAAAGTGTGCGTAAATGAAACGTAATTTCCATTTTATGCACTTTTCTCTCTATGCGTATTCTGACCTTGAACTTAAGCATCAGAATAGCATGCTATTCACCTGCTATTCGTTTTTGGTGGAGATCGAATAAGGTGTGGCAGAGGTGTTGTCGCTGTACAAAAAGTATAATTTGCTGAAAATCTAACTTGTTTCTCATGAGATACATACAGTGCCTTGCAAAAGTATTCATCCCCCTTGGCATTTTTCCTATATTGTTGCATTACAACCTGCAATTTAAATGGATTTTTATTTGGATTTCATGTAATGGACATACACAAAATAGTGCAAATTTGGTGAAGTGAAATGAAAAAAATAACTTCTTTCAAAAAATTCTAAAAAATAAATAACGGAAAAATGGTGCTTGCGTATGTATTCACCCTCTTTGCTATGAAGCCCCTAAATAATATCTGTTGCAACCAATTACCTTCAAAAGTCACATAATTAGTTAAATAAAGTCCACCTGTGTGCAATCTAAATGTCACATACTGCAATCTAAGTCCCTGTTCTGAAAGGCCGCAGAGTCTGCAACACCACTAAGCAAGGGGCACCACCAAGCAAGCGACACCATGAAGACCAAGGAGCTCTCCAAACAGGTCAGGGACAAAGTTGTGGAGAAGTACAGATCAGGGTTGGGTTATAAAAAAATATCTGAAACTTTGAACATCCCACGGAGCACCATTAAATCCATTATAAAAAATTTTAAAGAATATGGCACCACAACAAACCTGCCAAGAGTGGGCCGTCCACCAAAAATCACGGACCAGGCAAGGAGGGCATTAATCAGAGAGGCAACAAAGAGACCAAAGATAACCCTGAAGGAGCTGCAAAGCTCCACAGCGGAGATTGGAGTATCTGTCCATAGGACCACTTTAAGCCGTACACGCCACAGAGCTGGGCTTTATGGAAGAGTGGCCAGAAAAAAGCCATTGCTTAAAGAAAATAATAAGTAAACACATTTGGTGTTCGCCAAAAGGCATGTGGGAGACTCCCCGAACATATGGGAGAAGGTACTCTGGTCAGATGAGACTAAAATTGAGCTTTTTGGCCATCAAGGAAAACGCGCAAACCCAACACCTCTCATCACCCCGAGAACACCATGCCCACAGTGAAGCATGGTGGTGGCAGCATCATGATGTGGGGATGTTTTTCATCGGCAGGGACTGGTCAGAATTGAAGGAATGATGGATGGCGCTAAATAGAGGGAAATTCTTAAGGGAAACCTGTTTCTGTATT